CCTTTGTCCCTCTCGCGCCCTGCGGCTGGGTGCGGGCTGGGGCGTAGGGGCGGCTTCGGGGTTAGGTGCAGGGAGGGAGCGGGAGCCCAGCGCCCCAGCAGGTGGAGGGGGCGCGAGGGGCGCGGGGCCGTCTGTCAGTCCGTCAGTCTGGTGCCCTGCCGCAGCCCGGCCTTCCCCCGCCCCCCCTCCCCCACCCCAGCCCCGCTGGAGGCCGAGGACGGAGGTCCAGAGCCTGGCCTTGAATTAACCACAACTGACCCCCAAAAAGCAGGGGTTCACACCCCAGGACCCAGACAGACACACACACATATAGATGCAGACACACAGACACACACAGAGACACAGACACAGAGACAGACACTGAGACAGACACAGAGATACAGACAGACACACAGACATAGACACACACAGACACAGAGACACAGACTCACACATATAGACGCAGACACAGACACAGAGACATACAGAGATACAGAGATACAGACACAGACAGACAGATTCACACAGACACACACGTAGACACAGACACAGAGACACAGAGACAGAGACAGACACAGAGATACAGACAGAGACATGGAGACACAGACACACAGACACAGAGACACAGACACAGAGACACAGACACACACAGACACACACAGAGACACACAGAGACAGACACAGAGACACAGACACACACAGAGACACACAGAGACAGACACAGAGACACAGACACAGACACACACAGACACAGAGACACAGACACAAGAAACAGACACAAGAGACACACAGAGAAACACAGAGACACAGACATACAGAGACTCACAGACACAGACACACACACACACACACAGATATACAGAGACACAGACACAGAGACACAGACACAGAGACACAGGGACACACACAGACATACAGACACAGAGACAGACATACACAGACAGATACACAGAGACACACAGACATATAGACACACACAGAAACACACAGACACACAGAAACCAAGACACAGACACAGAGACACACAGACAGACACAAACACAGACACAGAGATACACACAGACACAGATACACACAGACACAGAGACACACTTAGACACAGACACACAGAGACAGAGACACAGAGACACATAGACACACACATAGAGACACAGACACAAAGATACACAGACACAGACAGACGGACACATACGCACACTCAGAGCCTGGGATGCGCAAACCCCTTCACAGGGTTGACATTGGGTCCCCGCCCCGAAGGTGGTGGGGAAGGTGCCGAACCCCCACGCGCGCCGGCCTGCTGCGGCCCCCAGGGCTGAGCCACGGAGGCCGGGAGGCTGGGCCCCGCCAGCCGCCTTCCTGCCAGCCCTGCTGTGGGCTGAGGCCTCTGGTGGGAAGGAGACCGCCCACAACCCGGCCCGTGGACACGTGCCGCTCGGTCCCCCTGTGCGCTGCTCGGGCCGGTGTCCCCCGGCTCCGGTGACACAGGGATGTTGTTCTTGAGGTGGCCTTGGGTGACAAGTATCATATGTGACAGATAAACACGCCCCTCCCAGGCCAGCCCTGGAGCCCGGTCCTTTGGGGCCTCCTCCTCCTCCTAACTGCTGGGGTTACAGGGATGCGCCACCATGCCCAGTACGTTTCCACTGAGCTTCCTTGGTCTGCGATGCCAGCTTTCCTCCCGGGGGGCCGTGGCTGCCGAGGGGAGACGGGTACCGGCCGCTCCCGCAGGTTAGGAGGAGCCTGGACGGAAGGAGGCGACTAGGCTGGCAGTCTCTGACTGGGCGCCGCGTTTCCCTTCCAGGTGACCATTAAGAATATCGAGCGAGAGCTCATCTGCCCGGCCTGCAAGGAGCTGTTCAGCCACCCACTGATCCTCCCGTGTCAGCACAGCGTCTGCCACAAGTGCGTGAAGGAGCTCCTGCTGTCCTCCATCGACGACTCCTTCAACGACGTGGCCTCCGACGTGTCCAACCAGAGCAGCCCGCGCCTCCGCCTGCCCTCGCCCAGCATCGACAGGATAGACAGGGTCAGCCGGCCAGGTGCGTGCGAGCGTGTGTGCGTGCAAGCGTGCAAGACAGACATTGGGGGGGGAGCCCCGGGAGCACACACAGGCCCCGGGGGGAAATGGGGCCCTTCCGCCCCGTGGTCACTGGGGAAGAATGATTCTGTGTCTTTCGCCTGAGCGCTGGTTTTCCCTCCGGGTGCATAAGCTAAAACCAGAGCTTCAAAAGGTCTCTAAACTGCTAAACTTGTGTTCTTTCCCATGGTCCTTCAAGAGGACAGTCATCAGACACCAACTCGGTGCTACAACTCCTGGTTAGGGGGTCCGCATGACCCCAGGGATTTCCGGGAGGAAATACTAGAGGAGGGGCCTCGTGTGGCAATCTGCCAGGTAGGCCCACAGAGTGAAGCCCGGCTTCGATGGCTTGTTAGCAATGATGACTTCTAGAAACTTCTTGAGCCGGTTGAGCGAATATGCTACCTGAGAACTTTTACTTCCTTCAGTCGTTCCTCATGCATTGTAAATACAGGGTCTGGAGGATGATAAAGGCAGGGAAGGCAGGTGCCGGTGGCTCGCGCCACTCAGGAGACCTGAGGATCGAGGTTCAAAGCCAGCCTGGGCAGGAAAGTCCGTGAGACTCTGATCTCCAGTGGACCACTCGGAAAAAGTCAGAAGTGGAGCCGTGGCTCACGTGGTAGAGCGCCAGCCTTGAGCCGAAAGAGGCTCGGAGATACCACCCAGGCCCTGAGTTCAAACCCCAGCACCAGCAAAAAAAAAAAAAAAGAAAATCAGCTGAATTCCGGGGTGCGCGTGGACTCGGATGCAGTGTGACCGGTGTGGGTCCGCACCAGCGCCCGGCCAGGCTCACGTCGATTCGTGTTGTCACAGTGAAGCCCTGCCTGGGATTTGCTCTTGGACGGGTTTGGGGGGTTTAAGGTAGCCAGGCTAGCACCCCAGGGTGGGACCGGGGGGTGGAGGTGCCGCACCCCAGGTCCGCTGGCCTCTGCCACCCGCCTTCGGGACCGGAAGCCTTGTTCATCTTGAGTCCTTTCCTGGGAAAGCGTCTCTGGGTGGAGGGAGCGCTGTGCACAGGCGGCGGCGGGCAGGCGGCGGCAGGGCCCCTGCCAGCATGCGTGGGCTCGGGACCGGCACTCAGGGCAAAGCGGGTGCTGCTGTAGACGTCACTGGTATCTTGGAGGATGTTTTGTACAAACGCAAGTGAGTCTCACCCCACAGCGGGAGCGGCAGCAAGCTGTGCGTTAGCGGAGTGCGGGGTAGCAGTGATTCAGCTCTGCACCAGTTACTCTGCCAGGTTACTGTGTGTGTGTGTGTGTTCCTGCACGCAGGTGTGCTCCTGCAAACACGTGGTTGTATACCACAGGGCCTGTGTGTGCACACACGGGTGGTTCTGTATGTGAACACGTGCGCATACACAAGTGCGCGGATGTGTAAGATGCACACGTGTGCATCTGTATCTTAGTATGTGTGTACATGCGTATATTTTGGATACAACAGGTTAAATAATGTTATCAAAATTTTACTTTTTTTTTGCCAGTCCTGGGGCTTGAACTCAGGGCCTGGGCACTGTCCCTCAGCCTCTTTGTGCTCAAGGCTAGCACTCTACCACTTTAAGCCACAGCACCACTTCCGGCTTTCTCTGTGTCTGTGGCACTGAGGAATCGAACCCAGGGCTTTATGCAAGCTAGGGGAGCAGTCTACCACTGAGCCACCTTCCCAGCCCTAGTTCTATGGCCAGTGGGAAGCTTTGGCTGCAACGTTTTACTTATTAGTTCATAATTAGTAAACGGTGTCTGGAAGGGGGAGCGGTTACCGTAGCACATTAAATTATGCAGAAATGAAAGCCATGTCTGTACCACTTCTGGATGTAGACTCTTCCTGTTGTCCGGAAGAGCTGCTCGGTTTTGGTGGCGTTTCCGAGTGCGTTCAGGCCAATACGAAGTGGACCAGACGCGTCTTCCCGCTCCCCAGCGCGCCCGGTACTGCCGCGGCTCGGGGACGGGTTCTGTCCCTGGCTTGGATCATTGAATAGCTGCGCTGTGTGCAGCTCACAGCGCGCGCTTTCTGTTTCGCTCACAAGCTGCGATTCTTCTCGCCTGGAGTCCTCAATGCAGCTTTCTGTGCATTGTGCGCAGCGTGCTGTGTCTCTGGGAGGCGCGGGGTTGCGGGCCGGGCCGGGCCGGGCAGCCTGGCGTCGAGTGGAGTGGTACTGAGCCCACGCGCGCTCACGGGGGCTCCGCACCGGCTGCGGTCATCTCCACCGCGCAGAGAAAGCGAGGTGACCTGAGAAGGTCACCCAGCAAATTCTGATGCGTGAAAGGGCCCGAACCCCAGAGCGCGCATTCTGCCAGGAGACAGGACCAGACACGGGTGTCTAGAAAATGACAGATTCCAGAACTACCCGGAGCTACTCAGGAGGCTGAGATCTGAGGATCACAGTTCAAAGCCAGCCCAGGCAGGAAAGGCCTCTCTAATGACCCAGCAAAAAGTTGAAAGTTGGGGCCATGGCTACCGTGGTAGAGCGCCAGCCTGGAGCAGAAAAAAACCAAGCCGAGAGCCCGAGGCCCTGAGTTCAAGCCACCAGCACACACATACTGGCACACACATGCACACGCCTCACACACACGTGTGCACACAACGTACCGGAAAATCCTTCACATTTCCCAGTGTGTACCAAAGCCAACTGTTTACCCTGTGAGCCCTTAGAGAAGCCGATCCTTTCTTAGGTGGTAAACTTTTGATTAATGGTATTGATTTTTTTGTTTTAGTTAATAAAACATAATCTTGTTTTATTCAGCTTTTTTTTTTACTTTGTTGTCAATGTTTTAAGGTATTTTGGCATCCGGATTTTTAACACTGAACCATCCGTCTTCTCTGTCTGTCTGTGCATCCATCCATTTTCATTCCAGTTGACCTTTATTTTAAAGGAAGATTGTCTATTGTTGGTGAGATGCTGGCAGGCTCCGAGACCCCTTTCTGTTTTCCTCCTGTCTTCCACATCTTTTTTTGCAAATCTTGTAAACCTGCCTCTGAGACTTGCATTGTGATTCAGTCCACTTAAGCTACTTTCTTTTTTCTTGGTCGGTCGTGGGGCTTGAACTCTGGGCCTGGGCGCTGTCCCTCAGCTCTTCAGCTCAAGGCGAGCGCTCTACCACTTGAGCCACAGCACCACTTCCGGTTTTCTAGTGGTTTATTGGAGATGAGTCTCCTGGACCCCGAGATCCTCAGATCTCAGCCTCCTGAGTAGCTAGGATGACAGGCATGAGCCATCGACACCCGGCCCTTAAGCTACATTCTTATCACCTGCTTTTCATCCAGAGGGCCTCTGAGAAAAATAATTTTTGCACGTTGAAGAATTCTAGTGTAATCCTCATCCCGTAAGTAAACTGCACAGACATCACACTTTTTGGCTGAAAAAAAAGTTTGCGGTATACAGAGAAAGGAACAAAGCGTCTCCATCCAACCTTCTAAACACGGAGACCGGAACCTGGATGTGGCCTGCATCGTTTTATGTCATTTAACTTCTCCGTTGTAACTCATTCCTTCACTGGTCATTACTTTCATAAAACCTAGAGTAGCTCTTTTACCTTTGGCTGCTAAGATGAGCTGTTTACTCATCGAAATTTCCAGCTCCTAGTTCCTGGAAGGAAATAGGCATTTGCCTGTACATTTGCATTTGTTTCCACCTAACCACCATATTCCCCGGGGCCGCCTGAATGGCTTGGCTTCTTGTGGGGAGCCTGGGCCTGTGTGTTCCCTAGCTTTCTGAAGGGAAAGGAACTAAGGAACAGCACCCAGCTCCAGGGTTCTAGGCCCAGGACTGGCCAGAAGACCAATCAACAATAACAACAAAAAAGATGAGGATCTCACTGTTTTGTTTTTCCCCAGGATATCTACCTAGTCTCTTCCTCGGAGTAACTGGGCCCACAAGTGTGAGTTACCTTTCTGGCCCAAGGGTAGATTTTAAGTGAGGGGAAGGAATGTGCTTTCTTTGGAAGCAGCAGATAGTGACTCACACCTTAATTCACCTTGAAATTTCTAACTTTAGAGTGATAACCACCAACAAAACTGTGGTGTGTAGGGTGCAGCTATTGGATTACACGTTACAGAATTCGTAACACTTATTGGATGCCCTGTGCATTGTTGATGAGTGAAATAACCTTGTTTGTTTGTTTCAGGTCACAGGAAGATGTTACTAAACGGTTGGTCCCTTTTTAAAGTTACTCAGTTCTAGATCTCTTAGTGAGTGGCTTTTCATTCTTTGCTGCTGCCTGCTGGATTGTTCTAGAGAAAACAATACTACCGTGGGTGCTTAAAGCTTTTCTTCACATGCTTGGGGTTGTAAAATTCCTTTGAGATGCTGATGAGAGCTATAGATTAACCAGAAAATGTGTGAACAAATGGAGAATTGTGCACACAATTTCAAACCATTCCTAGGTCCATTAGAAACTTCCTGGGCGGTGGGTTCTGGACCCCTCAGTCAGCCAAAGGAACATTTTAGGGCACATTTATGCCTTTGGATCTGATGGATGCGAATATCGAGAAACGTCAATTCTAAAAGTCAAAAGAGACCCCCCCCCCCACGTAGCATTGTCTTCTGTGTTTCTGTCTTGTGGCTGAATTGAGTTTTTAGGTGGCATTTTCTAGACAATATTTTTCTTCTCTATTTGCCTCAACTATTTGATCACAGATCTCCTACATAACCAGAGGAAGAGTGTTTCCCAGATACACATTCAGTGTTTTTTGTTTTTGTTTTTTTTGTTCTGCTTTGTTATTTGTCGGTTATGGGGCTTGACCTCTGGGCCTGGGCGCTATCCCTCAGCTCTTCAATTCAAGGCGAGTGCTCTACCGCTTGAGCCACAGCGCTACGTCCGGTTTTCTGAGTGGTTCATTGGAGATCAGAGTCTCACGGACTTTCCTGCCCGGGCTGGCTTTGAACCGCGATCCTGGGTTCTCAGCCTCCTGAGCAGCTGGGATGGCAGGCTGCAGTCAGTAAAGTTTGTGGGTGGGTGTCTTCCTGCCCGCACTCACCCCCGGCCTCACCCGACACACAGGCTGGAAGCGCAGCTCTCTGCCGTCCCAGAGCATCGCCTTTCCCTGCCCGGGCTGCGGGCACGACGTGGACCTGGGGGAGCGGGGCATCAGCGGCCTCTTCCGCAACTTCACGCTGGAGTCGATCGTGGAGCGGTATCGGCAGGCGGCCCGGGCGGCCACCGCCATCATGTGTGACCTGTGCAAGCCCCCGCCCCAGGAGTCCACCAAGAGCTGCGTGGACTGCAGCGCCAGCTACTGCAACGAGTGCTTCAAGATCCACCACCCGTGGGGCACGCTCAAGGCCCAGCACGAGTACGTGGGCCCCACCACCAACTTCAGGCCCAAGGTGAGGGCGCGGGCCGCCCCGCACGCAGCCTGAGCGCACATCTGGGTCTCACCGGCCCCCACAGGCCTAGAAGGTGACACTGGCACCGATTCCCATGCACAGTCCAGAGCAGCTCGGTACAAGAAATGGAAGCTCATTACGATAGTTCTCACTAGAAGGGGAGGGATTGCCTCAGATACAGACACCCAGCCCAGCCTGAGTCCTTACAGCTTCCTGCGCTCCTGAGATAACCTCACCTTTTGCCTTCCTGGGACAGGTTTAAGGATGTAGCTCTAATCCTGTCAGACCAGCTTAGGTTCCCAAGGCCACCAACTTGGCACATTTATGACTTGGCCCTGATGTTTTCTTTGCTATTTCTCTTAGGAGACTACATTGGTTTATACCATTCTAGCACGAGGAGCCTTCCGATCATTAATGGACCTGGGCTTTTGTGAATGAAGGGTTTCGTGAAGTTAGGCACCCATGGCTCACGCCTGTCATCCTCTACTCCCAGGCTGAGTTCTGAGGACCGCGGTTCAAAGCCAGCCTGGGAAAGACAGATCTGAGAGACTCTTAGTCAAAGTGGTACAGCCCCGCCCCGGTGGCTTGATTGTGTCAGGCAGATCTTTGTGTCTTGAGACCGTTGATTGCTGGAAGCCTGGATCCTTAATCATGCTTTTGTTCACTCACTGACCCCGACAGGTTTTGATGTGCCCAGAACATGAGACGGAGAAAATCAATATGTACTGTGAGCTGTGTCGGAGGCCCGTGTGCCACCTGTGCAAGCTGGGCGGGGTCCACTCCAACCACCGGGTGACCACCATGAGCTCGGCCTACAAGACCTTGAAGGTAGGGCGGGGCTTCAGGGGAGGACTCCACCCCCAGGGCGGGGCTTCAGGGGAGGACTCCACCCCCAGGGCGGGGCTTCAGGGGAGGCCTGGGCAGGACTCCACCCCCGGGGCGGGGCTTCGGGGAGGCCTGGGCAGGACTCCACCCCCGGGGCGGGGCTTCAGGAGAGGCCTGGACCCCCAGGGCGGGGCTTCAGGGGAGGCCTGGGCAGGACTCCACCCCCGGGGCGGGGCTTCGGGGAGGCCTGGGCGACTCCACCCCCGGGGCGGGGCTTCGGGGAGGCCTGGGCAGGACTCCACCCCCGGGGCGGGGCTTCAGGAGAGGCCTGGGCAGGACTCCACCCCCAGGGCGGGGCTTCAGGGGAGGCCTGGGCAGGACTCCACCCCCGGGGCGGGGCTTCAGGGAGGCCTGGGCAGGACTCCACCCCCAGGGCGGGGCTTCAGGGGAGGACTCCACCCCCCGGGGCGGGGCTTCGGGGGAGGCCTGGGCAGGACTCCACCCCCGGGGCGGGGCTTCGGGGGAGGCCTGGGCAGGACTCCACCCCTAGGGCGGGGCTTCGGGGAGGCCTGGGCAGGACTCCACCCCCGGGGCGGGGCTTCGGGGGAGGCCTGGAGACTTCCCCCACCTACTCCTGGAGGGAGGGGTTGGAGGGGTGAGGGGTGGAGGGGGTTGGGGTGTGCAGGGGGGTGGGGGGGGGAGGGAGGGGATGAGTCCTGTGCACCACCCTGGTCGGTTGGGAAAAATACCCCCATCTGTCCGTCTGTACTTCCATACTCGAAGTGGGCTTATATATTACTGCACATGTGTAGTTTTACATCTTGTATGGGTCACACCGGCATGCCGTCCCCCTTGGCGCCATGTACGCTGTTGCTTTGTGCACTCAGTCTCTCCCTCCACAATTACTGGGTCAGGTTGAGTGGATTTTTCTTCATACGTGCTATATACGTGTGCTCTATATTGCATACAACACATACATTACACATACTAGAACGTGATACGTGTAATGTATAGTATGTATCGTGCACATACGTTATAGGTTGGCGTGTGTATATAACAATAAAATGTCAATCTAACGAAGGCTTAGCCGGAGGATCATTACCGTAGCTGAATTTTACCAAATATTAATCATAAAGATGGCCACTGTGTAATTAAAACCTCTGCAAGTTGGGGGCTGGTGGCTCACGCCTGTGATCTAGCTACTCCCGAAGCTGAGATCTCAGGATCTCAGGGTGAAACTGGCCCGTCTGAGAAAGTCCTCTAGACTAATTTCCAGCTAGCCAGCGAAATGCTAGGCTGGAGGCACAGCTCAGGTGGTAGAGTTCCAGAGCACAAGGCCCTGGGTTCAAGCCCCAATACCGACACAAAAAGACTGCAGTGAACTCCGCAGGGTCTCTGCTAACCTGTTTTGTCCTCTGTGTTATGAATGCTCCACAGGAAAAGCTTTCCAAGGATGTGGATTACCTCATTGGTAAGGAGAGCCAGGTGAAGAGTCAGATTTCGGAACTGAACTTGTTAATGAAAGAGACGGAGGTGAGTGGCGCCGCGGCTTGAGTAGCACCGTCCGTGCAGACCTTGCTCACGGCCGCATGCGGCGGCGGCGGGGCGTGAGCTGGAACCGGCCTGCGGGCCTGCTGTCCGTCTCAGGCCACCTTGCGGGGGCCCAGAGACCGACACCAGCATTTGGGATCTGTGCTGCTGACCGTGACTAAGTGACACCCTGGGAACACAGGACGAATGACCGACCAGAAGCAACGGTTGCTAGGCCTCGTGGTAGGCCTCGTGGTAAACTTACCTTAGCTCTGATTTCAGAGCGATTCACGATGAGTGGCCAGGCTTGTTGTGGCACCCCTGTAATCCCCAGCACTCCAGAGACTGAGGCAGAAGGATTTGACAGACAGATGCTACTCAGGAGGCTGAGATCTGAGGATCACAGTTCAAAGCCAGCCTGGGCAGGAAAGTCCGTGAGACTCTGATCTCCAGTAAACCACCAGAAAACTGGAAGTGGTGCTGTGGCTCAAGTGGTAGAGCGCTCGCCTTGAGCTGAAGAGCTGAGGGACGGCGCCCAGGCCCAGAGTTCAACCCCTGACCGACAAAACAAAAAACCCAAACAGCCAGACAGATGGACAGTCGGATGCTCAGACAATGGACAGACAGATGGGCAGATGTGCAGATAGTTGGACAAATGGACAGATAGAGAGATACACAGACGGACAGACACACAGATGGACAGACAGACCTCCCTCCAAAATGGAAGTGTTCAGGGAACATTAATATGTGCCCAGCAGTCAGAATGTTCAGAACACGTGACTCTGCAGCATGAATTTTACATAAATAACTCACGTGCTTCTTGTAGACACGCCGAGCCGCCGGCCCGGCCCGGTCCACGGGCTCAGGCAAACGTGGCTCTTTCCCCCCACAGTGCAACGGCGAGAGGGCGAAGGAGGACGCCATGGTGCACTTCGAGAAGCTGTTCGACATCCTGGAGGAGAGGAAGTCCTCGGTGCTGAGGGCCATCGAGGCCTCCAAGAGGCTGCGGCTGGGCAAGCTGCAGACGCAGGTGGAGGAGCACCAGGGGCTGCTGGAGAGCAGCGGGCTGGTGGGCTACGCCCAGGAGGTGCTCAAGGAGACCGACCCGTCCTGCTTCGTGCAGACGGCCAAGCAGCTCCACCTCAGGTGCTCCGCCCCCAGGGCCCCGCCCAGGCCCCGCCCAGGCCCCGCCCCACGGCCAGGCCCCGCCCAC